AACTGGTCCCTTCTACACCTCGTGGTCAGACAGGTTGGTGTGCTTCTTCCGTGTGGGCTTTGATGGTTCTCAGCTAGATGGCCACTTGTTTATCCTCAAGTCTTTAAGACCCTGATGCTATATCTTTTGATAGCCAGGCTTTTTAGATAAGCTGTTTTATCACAATCTCCACTGCTCCTTTCGCCTTCTGGCTCTGTCTGCTTCCTCCGTTTCTGTCACCTGCCTTCCTGGGAGGACTGGAATTATGACCCTTGGTTTTAGGATCCGATGCTTGGACTTTCAGATCATTTCTTCTGCGGCCCAAGACATTTGTACACTTCAAAGTCTGGTTGAATTTCTAATCATTGCTATAGAAACCAATATCGCTACTTATGTATATTCCTTGCTAAATATTTTCAAAATCTAAAAGGAGGAAATTGTCATAAAGGTGCTGGATTTGGCTTATGTTGTTGGTCTTAGACATGAACAAGCCAAGATGACTTAGGTAAAGAAGTATGTTGCTTTGGGAGGTAATCAGCAGGTGAATTTGAGGTAGCAGGTAGTAAATAACATGGTATTGCATAATGTCCCTTTGATGTGTAGGGGTTTTTTTAATAGGGAAAACTAATATGCTATAATGACTTAGTCATAAAATAGCATGTGGGGTCTAAAGAAGAAATATAGAGACTAAAACATTAAGTTCTCAGAAACATCCAAATTTGGGGGACAATTAACTTGAAGGGATGGCTTATGAACTTAAAAAAAAGGCACATTTATGTGGATTCTAGTAACATAGATCCGCAGAAGATGATAAATGCTAAAATAATGGCCATCGAAGTAAAGGACCTCACCAGTGTAAAGTAAATTCAAGGACACGGAGTAAGAAGTAGAAACGAAATGACTGACCATCAAGTCAATGCTGACTCGTACCGGTCGGTACCTCTTAGGCATCAGAGCAGAACTGCGCTCCCGTAGCGTTTACAAGGACTGCTTTGGGGGCCAGGGGATGTGCAGACCTTTCTTCTGCGATATCTCTGAGCGGACCTCAAACTTCATTCTTTGGCCTGCACACTGACCCGCCTCACCCAGGTGGTCCAGAAAGAAGTCGCTCGTTCACTGCCATCCAGTCCGTTCGCAGAATCCCCGTGACACCACAGGACAAGTAGAACTGCCCCTGGGAGTTTCCGAAGCTTCACATCTTTTCCCTGAAGCAGAATTCTGAGGGGCTAAGGGGTTCAGGGACATCACGGCTCTTTCTGAAGTGGAAAGAAAAAAAGCTTTAATTGAAACCAAACTCACTGTCATTGAGTAGATCCTGATTTTTCTTTTTTTTTTTTAACTTTAGATTTTATTTTTATTTTAATCATCTTATTAGGGGCTCATACAACTCTCATCACAATCCACACATACATCAATTGTGTAAAGCGCATTTGTACATTCATTGACCTCATCATTCTCAAAACATTTCCTTTCCATTTAAGCCCCTGACACCAGGTCCTCATTTTTCCGCTCCCCCCTCCCCTATGTGCCCTTGATAATTTATAAATTGGTATTTTGTCATGTCTTGCCCTGTCCGACGTCTCCCTCCACCCACTCCTCGGTTGTCCGTCCCCCAGGGAGGAGGTCACATATAGTTCCTTGTAATCGGTTCCCTCTTTCCTACCCACTCTCCCTCTTCCCTCCCTGTTTCGCCACTCACACCACTGGTCCTGTAGGGCTCATCTGCCCAGGATTCCCTGTATTTTCAGTTCCTATCTGTACCAGTGCACATCCTCTGGTCTAGCCAGACTTGCAAGGTCGCTTTTTTTTCTTGATTTTGGGAGTCATGGTAGTGGGAGCGGGGAGAAAATATTTAGGAACTAGAGGAGAGTTGTATTTTTCATCGTTGCTACATCACACCCGATCCTGATTTTTCTGTAGGACAAGATAGAAGGGTCCCTGTGGGTTTCCAAGCCTGTAACTGGTCACAGGGATGGAAAGTCACATTATTCTCCCTCTGAGCAGCTGGTGGTTTCAAACCACCGACCTTGTGGTTAGCAGCGCAAGGCATATCCAGTATGCCACCGAGGGTCCTTCAGCAAGCAAACACGCACATAGTAAAGAGGGTGAATGGAACCGCAGGGCCAGTGTGGCACAGGTGGCGGTGCAGGTCAGTGGGCTGCCCAGGCCGCCCTGCACACCACGCCGGCAGCTCAGCCTCCCGCTTCGCTGTGTCCCGCAGGATGTGGTGGTGGTGGGAGAGGAGAACTTCACGACCCCGTGCTACGTCCAGCTGGACCCGCAGGCCTGCCACATCCTCAGCGAGAGCCTCAGCACGTGCGCCCTGGTGGGCCAGGCCGCCACCAAAGCGGCCGCCAAGCGCTTGAAGCTCGCCATCTTCGGGCCCCTCTGCTGCTCCTCTCTGGAGTACACGATCCGCGTCTACTGCCTTGACGACACCCAGGATGCCCTGAAGGTAAATGTGGTCACCTTCCCCTGGAAGGGAAGGTGGGGCGTGGCTGCGGCGCACGGAAGGGCGACGTGTGAGCATGTGTGTGTGCATACTCAGACCCATGAACTCGCGTTTGGCCCTGCAAGAGGTAGTTGTGGGGTTTGCTTGCTTTTATTTAAAAAAAAAAAATCTGAGGCCCGGCTGATAGATGAGCTGTTTTCTTTAGGCAGCTTTATCCCAAGGGCTACTTTTGTTTACTTTCCTTGATTTCGCTTAATGAAAAATTTAGAAGTGGAAGGATTTGGCAAGGAGACGGGTGGATGGTAAATAATCTGCTTCCATGTTTATCTCAGCTGTTCGCTTCCTGTAAAAGGAATTGGCGTAATTGCTCAAACTGTATGTTCCTCTTGTGTACTACTTCATTTAGATGCTTTCCCGTTGTCTTTATGAGGGCCGAGGGGGCGAGTGTGCGGTTGACTACAGGCTGCTGCTTTGCAGGATAAATGAGCTTAATTCCTGGTGCTATCATTACCATGCGTTTCGTCCCATTTGAAGCTTTAAGGGATATAGTAAGTGCCTTTGAAGAACTTCTGATCCAGACCGAGGGCTGGAAGAAGTGTGCCGGGCCCGTGACTCAAGTCAGAGTGTGATAAGTGACATAGATGAGATGCCCATCATGCTGAGGGAATCTCAAAAGGAGCTAACTTTGAGGTTGTGCTTAAGGAATGTAGGATTTGACCAGCAATAAAGAGAAAGAAAGGCACTTTTGGGGTGAAGGGGACGACCGAAGGACACAGTAAATACAGGTTCTACGCAGGCATCTTATTTCCATTAACAGAATGAAAGGAACAAAAAGCACCTCATGCCCCCTTCCAAAAAGAAACCCTGGCTGCCATCAAGTGGGTCACAGAAAGAAAAGAGGTGAATAATCAGTGTTCCCTTTTATGGGCTCTAGTGGCTGACGTTGAATGTGTGGGTCAGAAGATCTGGTAACAGTGGCAAACCCAGGGAGGCAGGGACCATTGGGGATGGGCATAGCAAGTTCCCTTTGGAAATACTAAGTTAGAGGTCTGAGTTGACAGCCAGAATAGGATGCCGGGGATTCAAATTAGTTTTGAATCTGGGTGTGGCTCTTTGAACAAAGAGCAGATCCTGAGATACAGATGTAGGGGCTACATCCTGTTATGTGTTCTGCACAGTGATCAGGGTGAAGGCCAAGTGAGACTACCTGTTGCAAGGCTGTAGGACACAGCAGACCTGAGCGTAATTCCTGCTGCTATTATGGGGTTTCCCAAGCGGAAATCATTACACACACACTGACACATCTTCCTCTGTGGAGTGGGTGGATGGGTTCGAACCACCAACCTCAGGTTGAACAGCTGAGTACCTACTGTCCTACCAGGGCTCCCCCAAGCGAGTTTAAAGGGAAGAGAGTATAATGAAAACAAACAGAGAATATTCTGAGTGCTTAGCACACATCTTAAAAAACAGAGTTAGAGTAACTCATTTAATCTTCACAACAACACTGTAGGATCCCATTTTACAGATAGGCCATCCAACACCCAGAAAGTTTTAAGTCGGTCACAGGTCCACATTTCACACCCTGGCAGCCTGGCTCCTACACCAGTTCACTTGAAGTGACATGCCTTAGGCTCAGGGCAGGAGAAAGCGAGGTAGTAAATGAGCTAAAGAAGCGTAGGCACCCCAAGAAAAAAGGAGTGTGTGCATGGAAGACAGGGGGAAAACTGTCCAGGAGACCAGGCTGCTTCGAAAAGTCAACATAGTTCCTGCTGGCGTTTCCATTCAGAGTGTTCCTCTGGTTCTTGGGGGGTCAGGTTGGGTCTCCTGGGAATCAGGCTTCCGGGAGAAGAGCTGGGTGCTGACTGCAATCATCCTTTCCTTGCACCAGACTATGCCGGGATGGGCAGAGCCTGGCACGCTTTGAGCCTGCAGGATTTGCTGATGTGAACACACCCATCTCGGGTAAAGCTTAAGGAGATTTCTGTTATACTCCTTGCGAATGTGAGACTTCTAAGGCCTTGTCAGAATGGAAGCTATTCTCAGCTTACAGTTCTTCCCAGGGAAAACTGTATCTGGAGGGGAGCTCGAGGGTCTGATTAAGGGAAACCTTGTTTCTTTTCTGAACAATTCCAAGAAAAGTCATTTCCAAAAATCATCCAGTGGAAGACCCACATCATATCTGAAATGTCCGAGACAAGCATTTTATGTTTACTCGCCTAGTTCTTCTCTTTAAATACCTCTGGCCTCTCGTGAATCCACATAAATTCACGTAAAGGATCATCTTTCATAAAATAAAGTTGGTAGCTTTAATTGGCTCAAAATAAAAACAAACCAGGAGCCCTGAGAAAGACTGATGGCGAAAGCTCTCAAGAGTAGCTTGTTTATCATGGTCAATGCTTTCCAAATAGACATGTACAAACTCTCAGCATCTGGAGATCCAGCACAGTCTGAAATAAGCACGAATTATGGATGAGGCTTTCTTGTACCTCGTGGCCTTTTAATAATGCAGAAATACCAAAATTCTAGTTATAGGTAAATGGCCTATCCAACATACTGAGAGACAATTAGTTCAGTCATGCCAACACCGCCTCACGCCCACACTTCAGTTGGAACCTTGGGGCTGATTAGCTCCAAAAGGCCCTTCATTACTAAGCACTGCCTTCTTGGCAATCTGCCTGCTAGTGTTCCCTGCCAATCTTCCTCCCATCTCCCTGTTTCTTTAATAGCTGGCACCCATAAATACTATCTTTTGCATCACCCCTCTCAAATGCCTCGTCCTTCTTCAGAATCCCAACCCCACTTCTGTCTCATATTCCTCCATAGCGGAATCAGTTGAGGGTTTAAAAAGCAAACAAACAAAAACTCTTGCCAGGGTCTCTCCCCAGAGGTTCCGATGGAGTTTAGTTCAATGTTCCCTATGTATTCGATTGTGTGGTCAATCTTAAGAGCCACTGTCTTTCGGCAATGTGTTCGGAACTTCAGCTCTATGAAGGGTGAACTTCCCTCCTCTCTCAGGTCATTCCCTCCCCCAGCGCACGTTCACTGCCATGCGTTTGAAGACCCTGAGCCTCAGGCTCCCCACACACTCTGGTCAGCTTTTCAACTTGTTGGCCCTGCGCCTCCAGGGAGGGAGTTCTGATGATCCCAGCCCCCAGTCCCGAGCCAGGAATCCCTGTGTAGTGCTTCACAATGCGCGTTTCTCTTCGGGATGGGACCCAATGCAAGCTCCCTTGTTATTTGCACACACACAAAACCCCCACTATTTTTCATGTGCCACAGCATCTCTCTGCAATGAAGGGCACCCCCCCCACACACACACACACCTTTCCCCCAATTAATCACGGTCAAAAGGAAGGTTTCCCTACAGCTCCTCCCCAGTGGCTCTTCCTGGGACATCATTCCACAAACCTTAATTGTGTTGCTCATTTTCCAGTTCAGTACCTTACACAGACCTCTACCCATCCTTACCTTAGCAGTGCTGGCTTCGTGGTCTTTGTTTCCATCGGCTTTACTCTTTGCCACAGCTCATCATAGACTGCTGCCTCCACCTCCCACCAGGTAGCCACCAGGAGGCATGTCCTAGATTTCCTCTTTATTGATAACTGCTCCGTTGCCAAGGCTTCTATCTCTGAACTCCTCCACCTTTCTGATCGCAAGCAGCTCGTCTCCCCTCTCTCTGACAAGGAGCTTCCGGAGGGCTTCCTTCCCGCTTCCGTTATTTCAGGATCCGCAAGCCCTGAGCTGCTCTGCCTCCCGTCTTTTAAGAACTTGCTTCCACACTGAAATCTCTTGTCACATTGAATTGCTGTGGATTTTTACAAAAGCCATAGTTTAGGATAACTTCAACTGAACAAATCCACTCCTTCTGCTTCCTAGATCTTGAGTTACTAGGAAAAATCATAAATGTCTGAATGGGTATATTTTAGCTCAAACTATGTCTCCGCTGTTTCTCCAGGTCTCTTATTTTATTTGGGTTTTTTTTTTTCTTGAATCTTCAGACTTCATGCAGCCTTTCTTTCAGGTTTCTTCCACATTCCTAAATTCCGTGGTTATTTTGAAGCTGTGTTAATGCTTAGTAATACTCCCACGCTTACTGTACCATGCAGTGGAAGACTCCACATTATATATCCCTCAAAACCTCTTCCTTCCGCAGCTTCCCGTTTACTTTCAACTCGGATGAAGAGAGAGTTACACCCCCTCGTAACTCCTCTACTACCTTCAGCTCCAGGATTTCAAAATGTCCTAAAACAGGTCTCTCCAGCCTTGCTATCTTATCATCACAGCTGGAACATTCATTCTTAGGGATCCACACTCCCAGAGCTATCCTCCAGAGCTATTAGGGGAGTGGGGGGGAAATCAGCTGACTCCATTTGTGGAACTGAACTTATCAAATGTTTTAACAACCACTTCTTATCATAGTGTGGTTAGTTGGTCCAAGTAGGTAGTAAAGAAAGAGACCTATGCAGCAGTCAGTCTCCAGCAATCCGATGCATTCGTTTCCTCACCCATGTTGAGGGTGCCAGCTCTCCTGACAATTTCCATTAGTTTGTGTTACGCCTGAGGCCAAAGATGGTTACCGGAAACGGAAATGTTGTGCGTAGCAATTCGGAAGCATAGAGTTTGAATGCAGTTGGTGAGGGCCAGAGTAAAAGTCAAGGCTGATGGGAGACACTGGGAAGCCTCTCAGGAAGGCTTTTTTCCCCCCTTCTCTTTTCCTGTGCCTGTGCTTGAGGGACCAGTGGGAGTACCACTCAAGTTGAATTCACATGGAGAGGGAAAGATGCTGAGAACTGCACAAATAGTTGGGAAGTAATTCAGTGCTCAAACAGAGAGAGGTCAAGTCTAGTGAAGCGATGGACTTTGAGCTTTTCCCTGTCCCTCTTCTTCAGGTGAGTAATGGAAGGATATTGGTGTTTTCCTTTCATTGTGTGCAGAGCATTAAATCCTGGAGTAAATAGACCAGAAATTAGTGGGTAACAAGGTTATATCGAAAGTAAATTTAA